GTTAACCAGTATTGCATAAGACTTCGGTACAAACCCATGATAAGACCACTGGGTGTAGAAGACTAAGGAACTGAAGTGATAGAAACCTACTTGGAAATTTCTGAGTTAAGAGGTAGCATGAACTTTCGACAGTACCATCGGACTGGTTAAAGTCCATGAAACACCTTCATAGGAACTGAAGATTAAAACTGGATGACAAATATGTGTAGAGGAGCACATAACCAACCAGGCCACCAGGTTTGCCAGAGAAAAAGGATACAGAAGTATACCATATCGGGCTATCTGAATTGGTAATCTGGATAAATAAGATTGACAGTTCTGAGTTGTGGCTAGTAGGGGATGATGGAAAAGATGCCAGAAAGATGGGTACTGAGGTTCTAGTGAACTTTATAAAAGTAGAAATAGTGTAACGTAGCAGTTAAACAGATAACCCCTGTAACTGCAAGTGTTAGGTAACTATAGCATGTTGCATAAAACTAGGTCTAGATGTGTAGAACATAAAGGCTCTAGTAAGTTTCCTATCGAGGATAAAGTAGTCCTAAGGAGACTGATAAGCATCGGGAACTTGGATGGGTGGTGCCTTGAGATGTTCCTGTGATACAAGGAGGATTGCATATGCAGAGGGTTTAAATAGGCAAGACCCCTAGTTGGCTTGCAGGTATGGCAACTAGTATAGAACTTATATAGTAATGTGTAAGCGGACTACTTAAATTAGGCACCAAAAGTGCACGTGTGGCTAGTTGTAACCTCCAATGTAAGGTGAGCCCCTGGTGGCATGCTGTATCCTAATATACTTGAATAAAAACATTATAACTCCCAAGATAGGGACTTTAACTATAAAAAAAAAAAAATGAATGATGATTCTAGTATAATGGTTAAGTTGTTATTCTTCAAATGGTAGATCTAAAATTCAAATTCCACTTACAATGAAATTTAGAAATTATATCTATATTATGGTAACTGTCTTCTGTTAATTAGTTGATCTTATATGACTATAACCCAAATATATCAAATCAAGTCCAATTAATATTGAAAGTTTAGAACATCTATGTAAAATGTAATATTACATATACATAGAAAAATATATAACTGATATTATATAAAACTTTAGTGCAAACTTATAATAAAACTATCAGGTATAAAAAACTAAAGAACTAAGATAACAGAAACCTACTTGGAAATTTCTAACTAAAGAGATAACTTGAACTTTTAATGGTATTATCAGACTAGTTAAAGCCTATAAAACATCTTTATAGGAACTGAATATTAAACTAAACATTAAATATATATAAAAGAGTACTTAACCAACTAGGCTGCCAGAAGAAAAGAATATAAAAGTATATTATACCAGATCATCTGGATTGGTAGTCTGGCTAGTGATTACTAGTTTCAAGTTATAACTAGTATAGGATAATAAAGAAACTGTTAAAAAAATAAGTACTGGGATTCTAGTAAACTTTATAAAAATAGAAATAGTATAATATAGTAGTTAAACAGATAACTTTTGTAATTACAAGTGTTAGATAACTATAATGTATTGTATAAAACTAAGTCAATATATATAGAATATAAAGGTTTTAATAAGTTTTTTATTAAAGATAAAGTAGTTTTAAGAATATTGATCAGCATTAAAAACTTGGATAGATGTAACCTTAAAGAATTCTCATGATATAAGAAGAATTGTATATATAAAAAATTTAAATAGACAAGATCTCTAATTAGCTTGCAAGTATAACATCTAGTATAAAACTTATATAACAATATATAAACAAACTACTTAAATTAGATACCAAGAATAGTGATCCTAGTGTAGTGATCAGGTTGTCATTCTCCAAGTGTTAGGTCTAAGATTTAAATTTTACCTATGACAAAATTTGAAAATTAATCTGTATTACAGCAAACTGTCTCTTAACAATCAGTTGGATTTGTGTATCTATAACCTTAAGTTGCACTATCTTGAATAGGAGCTCAGAATATCTATACCAAATGTAATGTTACATATACATAGAAGAATGTTAATAACTAGTATTATATAAGACTTTAGTGCAAATCCACAATAAGACCACCAGGTGTAGTAAACTAAAGAACTAAAGAACTGAAGAATTGGAAACCTATTTAAAAATTCCTAAGTAAAAAGATAGCATGAACTTTCAATAGTACAGTCAGATTGATGAAAGCTCATAAAACACCCCTAAAGGGATAGGTAAATAAACCAGATGTCAAGATGTGTAAAGGAGTATATGACCAATTAGGTCACTGAAATTGCTAAAGAAAAAGAATATATAAGTATATCATATTGGGCTATCTGAATTGGAAGTCAGGAGAGTCCTGTCAGTCCTAAGTAATGGTTAGTAAGAGATGATAGAGAAGACATCATAATAATAGGTACTGGGGTTTTACAAGAATAGAAATAGTATAATGTAGTGATTAAACAAATAATCCCTATAATTGCAAATGTTAGATAATTATAATATATTGCATAAAACTAGATCAGCTATGTGTAGGACATGAAAGGTTCTAGTAAGTTTTCTGTTAAGAATAAACTAGCCCTAAGGGTCTTGAAAGCATCAGGTACTTTGGATGAAGTACCCTTATGTTCAGAAAATCCTGGGCTGAAGATCACTTCTGACTCTATCCAAATCCAATAAAATCACAGGATCTTGTATAACAAAACAACTACGAAAAATATAAAAAATTGTAAAAAAATGTAAATAACACAAAAATTTACTATGATAACTAACTTCTGACCTCTAAGTAAAAGTTTTCAGAATGAAATTTTACTTATAAAACATACTTGTTAATGTTAAATATATAGTGAATTTTTGAGATACTACAACCCATATTCTTTTGGCTAGCAACTTGAAATTTTCTGAACATAAGGATATTCCTTTGAATAGGTATAGCCCAAAAGATGTTCTCATGATCACAAATCAGATTACATATGCAGAAGGTTTAAATAGGCAAGACTTGTAATTGGCTTGCAGATATGGCACCTAGTGTAGAACCTGTATAGTAATATATAAGTGAATTACTTAAATTAGGCACCAAAAGTGCATGTATAACTAGTTGTAACCTTCTATATATGAAAGCCCCTAGAGGCATCCATGTCTAAATACTTGAATAAAAAAATTGATTCTCAAAAGCAAGAACTTTAACATTAAAAAAAAAAAAAAAAAAAATTAGATACCAAAAATGTATATATAACTAGTTATAACCTTTAATGTAAGAGAATTCCTAAAAGCAACCTGTGTCCTATATACTTGAATAAAAATGTCATATCCTAAAGATAGAAACTTTAATATTTAAAAAAAATAAAATAAAATAACATTAAAAAGAACTTATAATTTGTAAAAAAAAAAATATTAATAATACTTATATATATAAATAAGTTAATATTTTTATTATAACTTTTTATTATTTTACTTACTCTATGCACAATTACTTTATTGATTGTCTAAGTAAATTTATTGGTTTAATGTTAAAATCTAAATAAAATTTTAATTTTTAATGACTAAAAATAATAAATTTGGAGTACTAATCTGCAATGTTGATCAGTACTAATTATAATTTTAGGATACAAATTTTAGATCCAAATAAATATTTTGGCCAATATAAACCTCACCTTAATATCAAAAAAAATAGTTTTATAAGTAACAATAAATATTTTCAATTAATGATGCAAAAAAACTTTATAAAATATGATTCACATGTTTTAAATATTTATAAAATAAACAATTTTAATCATGTTAAATTAACATGAATATAATAATCTTTATATTTATTAGCAAATATGATGAATAAACATATAATGATATTAATTATAAGACAGACAACAAAAAGCTTGTTTGATTTATTAGTTTTGAATTTGTAGAATAATAAAGATTCAACAGAATAGCTACTCAGAATCAATTAAATATTTTTTATATTAGTAAATATCATACCAATCTGCAGTATTGTACTTAATATAATAAGTAAATTATTATAATAATAATAAACAAAAAAAATAAGTACAAGAAAGAAAATAGGTTTATTAGATTAAACGAATAAGTATAATTTGTATGCGAAATAATTTAGTTACTTATTTTTCATACATGCAAATTTTTGATAATAACTAAGGCTGTTAAAAGTCTGATCCTATTTGTTTGGACTTCTTAAATAGGGACTTTGATCAGGACTCAATTCTTAAGTTGATCCTTGAGTTATGATAACGTGATAATCTTTATCATTATCATTACATATTTACAAAATACTTAGGGCAGTAACAGATATTATGTAATATCTTAGGGGGGGAGGGGGGTAAGAATGTCTTATGTTTCCATAATATAATATATATATCTATTATACGTATATACGATATATAGTACAATATATAATACTATACAGTATTTTTCTAATATGAGTAGTCCCCTTACTATTATATGCTAAGTATATAAGTGTAATACTCTATACTTTTCATACTTATATACTTGAGTAGTACAGTACACATCAGGAAAATAAAGTATGATAATACAATATAAGTAGTAAACCCGCGGTTACAATATCTTTATATTTTAATATATACACCTTGTACATTATTTTTTATAACTTTAAAAAAAAAAACAATAGCTACTATCTTATGTATTTAAACTAATGCTAACCAAAAATAACTAAAGCGAATAGCCAGATATATTTAAGATACGCAATATATAAATTATTGATTATATTGATCTTAATATACGTATAGTTTTGAGAGTACGTAGAGATATAAAGCTAAGTACATATATATAAGGCCAGGCAAAATTAATTAGTTACTTGGTTTTCATAAGTCGGGTAAAATAAATTCAAAAACTTTAAAAAATATATTTTAATAAGCAGGAGGAGTGGGGTTTTAAAAAAAAGCTAGTTAGCCCAAATTTATCTAAAGATCTTATGAAAACTGAGATATTAAATTTGTATAGCCTAAGAATAGTTCTGCTTTTTTTTTCTTATTGGAAAGAAAAAAAAAATACTGTATTATATTTTTATTCTATATCTGAAAAACATTTTCTGCATTCATTAAAAAATTCATTTTCATTTTGTTGTAGAAATGGTAAGTTCAAGTCTTCCATAGTTGCAGAGTTTGTAATTAGAACGAATTCTGCGATTGATTCTGAATTTTTTGGTTTTTTTTTGGGCCTTCCATGAGTAGATAAATGTTGTAAACATTTATGCTTTGCTACATATGATAGAGTTGAAAAATACTTATGACAAATTAAGCAGCAAAGTCGAGAATATGTTGTTTGGTCAATAGATGGACAATGGGCATCATATTTAGGAACTTTAAACAACTCAAAATACTGAAGAAGGTAAACAGGGTTAAGATAGTGTCCATCTCAGGCTTTGGTAATGGGAGGAAGAAAACCATTGAAGGGTTGAAGAAAATCCATAGCCTCTTGCGCTCTGATAGGTCCACAGCAACTTAGATCAGTACAACATTTAATATCAACTAAATACTGGCATATATTACAATGCTTTTCTATCCAGGTCCATGGAACAGAAATATTAGCAAATTCATTAGAGCCGTTTTTCTCTTCTTCATCTTCAAAATCTTGTTGATTTAATTTTTTTTTTCCTTTTTTAACTTCTTTTTCTCCTTCACAAGCAAACACAATATTCACGAATGGATTAGTTATTTTGTCGACATATGTTGTTTTTACATATTTTCCAAAGATAGGATCCCGACTCCATATATCACTTAGCATAGAACCAGCATAATGAAAATTTTTATTTGCTAATTCATTATTAATAACTCTACCCTGACTATCAAAGTGTTTTCCAAAATGATCTATTGGCAATACAACCCCAGCTAACTTACTAGAAAGTGTAGCTATACCTTTTTCAACAGGATTATATTTCGATTGGCCCGGGGCATGCGTACGTATAGACAAGTAATCAAGGTCAAATTTTTTAAAAATCTTGCAATATGATTCAATATTTTTAAGGTGCCTGGGATTTTCATCAGGTCCATCATCAACTAATAATATCCATATTGGTTTTATATCACCATTCACTTTTAGTGCTTCAGAATATTGATTATCCAATACAAGACAAGTAAGATCTTCCATGTGGGTAATAGATGATGTGCCGATTGACCATTGAGGCCAAACAAAAATTGCAACTTGCCTTGTCCGAAGGTTATCATTAGCTTCACTTGGTTTAATTATAAGGTAAACTGAGGGAATAAGTTTTTGATTACTTCCATGTACAAAGTCATGATTAGGTATTTGGACTGGTTGAGAGGATGATTGCAAGATATGAAATGTTCTGCCAATTGCAGCTATACCTAAACTTATTTTCGCTTTATCATCTTGTGAGATAATAACAGAAAATTCAGCAAAGGTTTGTGCAAATTGCCTTGCTCCTTTTACAGAAGCAAGACAATAGTGACCATCAGGATGATACTTTGTTTTGTCACGTAAAACTCCAGCTACAGCTATTCAGGCAGGGTGATGGAGAGCCTTTGCTGCAACTGAATTAGAGTGATAAGGCAGAAGATAGTTGTTTAAAGTTGTTTTAGCCATATAAATACCATAGTTTTTTTTAAGGTTTTCTCATAGATGACTTACAATCTTTACTTTAATGGCTTCTTTACGTCTACGTGCATCTGCTAATTCATACTCAACTGAATCATGTATATGTTCTAACAAATCCAGGTGTTGAAGTAAGAATGATGGTCTACCACTTTTATCATATCTAACTACCTCTTGTCACTTTACTATAGCTTTAGTTTTTTTAGAATGACATTTGGACTAATATTCAGCATTTCTTTTTAATTTTTGTATTTTTTTTTCATACGATTGAATATCAGTTCTTAGACTTTTGATTCTATTATATAAATCATGCAAAAGCTGTGGATCAGTGGTAATGTTATATATTTGTTCCAACTCTTTAATTTTTTTTTAGCAATTTCTTTAGAACTAGCTATCTGTTTTTGAGCTGTTGCATTATTTCGAATTTCTTCTTTTATAGGAATTGTTGTTAGTATTGCAGTACAGGAAGAACTACTGGCTGTAATTTCTGGATTTTTTGTTTTTTGAGATGAATTAGTAGACCTGATGAATCTATTTAATTTAATGGGTGTAGCTAAGTACTCTTTTATAATATTGTCAATTCTAGTTTCTTCAAATTTTTTAACATTGTTTCATTCTTTTGTAGCAGCATCATATATATTTAATTTATCTGGAATTGGATTTTCATTTTCTATTATTAAACAGTACGCAAATGCATTAGTAAACTGCTGATATTTGGTATTAGGAGATTTGTATATATAAGTCTTATTGAACTTTGGACTGGAAAAAAAGGTTTGCCGACTCATTATGTTAGATATTCATATGACAAAATAGAGGTATAAGTTATGGAATACTGGTCAAATTTATTATTTAATTTTAAATATTGGCTGATAATATGTAATAACTCTTTTATAGCAATTCAATAAGTCAGTTGAGATAAGCTTTGCGATAGAGTTTGTGCCATACACTCATGAGTTTTTTTCATTACATGCATATGACTTCATAGCTTTTCTATTTATTTCATTACTAACTTAAACCACATAATCTATTTTACAACAATTCATTATATTATCTATGAAGTTATGAAATAACAACTATGGGCGTTATTTTGAATTTTGAATCTATAGAAATGATACGCTTTGTTTTAAGATAATGTCTATGAACTTCCAAAAGTTATTTATATACAACAGTAATCAGAAGTAAAACTTGCCCTTGTATCTTATATTGGGTGTAATTGAACCGACATGCAAATTGTAAAAATGCGCAGACCCCAGTTATTAAAGTATTATTGCCAAGTTTATTTGTTTTCAGCCCTGAAACTCTACAAGTCTGAACATGGTATGCCATGTGCTTTCTCCCTGTAAGTAACTTCTTTGATTATTGACCTTATTACAAATTTGGATTAGATTCTTTTTTCTTGTGCCATATATTAATTACTATATTAAGAGGCTATAGTTATGTTGTTTAACAATTCCTTATCTAACACTAATTGTAGTGTAGAAAGGAATTTCATATTAAGAATTACCCAAAGATTAAATACATACGCCTTGATTAGATACTTGATAAGGCTAAATCTTCAGTTATTTGAATATTTGAGTAGAGGTTTATAGCAGTAGTCTTAATTTAGAATCTTGAAGTTTTTAAAATAATATAAGTATTATCAAAGAAAATTAGGTTGAGGTTTTTGAGTTTTTTGGCAAAACATGTAATGCTTTAAGTCACATTGTTAAAGTACAAAAGTAAATTGATAATTTCTGACAAAATAAATTAAATTTTATAATTAGATTATATTACTTTAATGTTCAAATATTATTAGTTTATAATTACTTAAAAACTATAAACTAGTATTTTTTTTATAATATGAAATTAGCCAATCATAATTGATCTTACATGGAGGGAAGGGGGGGTACTCTTATAGTATATAAATATTACGTAATATCTGTTACAGCCCTTATTATTACTAAACTTATTGTTATCATTAAACAACTAACACTAATTATTATTTTTATTTTACATTTACTTCAAACCTTCTGCCTTAGACCAACTTTTAATACACAGAGTGGCTCTTGTAGATTCTTCAAGAAGACTATTTCTTGTAAGATTTATTGTATGCTTCATCACAGAAAAAGCATGCTCATATGAAATGCTTGTAGCTTACAGTGCAAAGTAGTTCACTGCCATTAAAGCTACATTTGGAAAATGATGAGCTTTTATTTTTCATCACAACAATGGATTAGTATATGATTCTGCAGATAATGAAAGGTAGTTTACTAATTCATTCGGTGAAGCTTGATTATTTTGACTTGACTTTTTAAGATTCTTAAAATACTCTAATAGATCTTTTCTAAGTTCTATCATCATTTTATTCATAAACTGAAATGAATATGAAATTTTCAAACTTTCAATAGCTAACTGATGATTTTCTTTATTAAAGGTTTCGAATTTAGTAGACAGATCAAGTAGAGCTGAAATAGTTGAGGATTCTGAAAGATAAGTCCAGTATTTTAATATATTTTTTTTAATTTCTTAAGCCACTTCATGATATATAATTATATTTGTAGTTTCATAATAATTATTAAGATAGATTAGGTATTCTTGAAAAATTATTTGTAATGGACTATGTAAAGATAATAACATTTTTGACAATTCCAACATCACCTTATAGAAAGATTCAAGAAACTGAACCATTTCATTAACTACTTCCCAATTTTCTGATTCTAAGTAGTTTTCTTTTAAATTAGAATGAATTAATACTAAATAGTCTATAATGACCTTAATTTCTATAAGTCATTTTAATATAAGATAGGTAGAATTCCATCTTGTTTCAACATCAAGTTCAGAATGAAGAAACAGTCAATCAAAAATTGTAAAAATTTGTTTCATTTCTTCTAGAAGAGTAGATAAGTTTCTAATTTTATTGCAGATATACTGCACCTGTTATATTTGTTTACTAAAATGTTTTTGTCTTTCTTTTACAGCAAGGTTTAAAATATGTGTGACATACCTTATATACAGAAAATTAGGATTAATATGGTCTTGGAGATAACGTAAGCACATTTGGTTATTTGACACATTATCACCAGTAAAGTCTAGAATTTTATCTTTTATTTCTAGATCTTCCACAAGTTCAACCAATTTTTCTCTAAGATATGTGCCAGATGGGATTCGTGTAAGAGTATAAAGTCAAGGAGAAGAGTTTTCATTGTCTATTCCACATCTACTTAGTGAACCATAAGTTCAAGAAATTGTTGTTGATTACATGCTATCCAAACATTGATATTAAGTGCTAGTTTACTGCGATTTGATTTTAGTATATTTTTTATTTCTATTCTTATTGATTCAATTTTTTTTTTGATAGTCATAGAGACTGTTTGATGACAGGATAGCTTATACTGTGGATCAAGGTTTGAAATAAATTTAATAAAAAGATCTTCATCAACTATTAAAAAAGTTAGTTGACTTTTAACGATTAATTCTTATAGATTGTAGTTTAAAGATTCAATACGTTTCTTTCTGACTTTATTTGTTGTTGAGTACGTGATGCAAGTAACTTTGAAATTTTTGCGCTGAAAATCTCTGTAAAGATCTGGATGTTTATTTTCAAAATGGTGTGAGATTGTTGACAGAGATGTACCTGCACTCCATTTACTAGGTTCATTGTCAGAATCATTAGGACATATTTTACAAACATGAGTGCCATTTTCATTAATTTTAAGGTAATCATAAATAGACAATGTTCTTTTTTTTGATTTTTTTGAACCACTAATATTTTCTTCATTTAGAGAACTACGATTATTAGTAGGTTCATTACTAACATCGTTTTCATTTGGAGAATTGAGAACTAATGAAGAAATAGGACAAGACATGATTTTAGAGATTTTAATGTTGTGAAAAAATTTTTTTAAAAAACAATATGTAATATCAACAAAGAAAAACAACAGTCTTTTATTTGTTTTATTTGTTACATACTATAATAAAAAAAAATTTAATAAACCTTCATGAAATTAAAAGTTTTTATTAAATAATTAAATTGCGAAATTAATATACAATTAATTAATGTGAAATTAATATTAATAATCCCACAAAACCCTTGCAAGACTAATTCTTAATAGCTCCTCTCAAAGTCTAATTTTAATGGTTCCCTCTCGCAAGACTAGTCCCCCCGCAAGACTACTTTTTAATAGTTCCTATCCGCAAGACTGATTTTTAATAGTCCCCCTGCAAGACTAATTTTTAATAGTCCCCCGTGAAATTTTATGGATCGGCGTAAATTAGCCAATCAAAATGTCCAATTACTGGGACAAAGGACATGCCGACCCCTACGTTCGGACTTTGTCCGAAGTCGACTTCGAGTTGGTCCTAAAAAGTCTCTGAGTAGTCGACTCAAGGACCGGGTCCTACAAGCTTTTTCACAGCCCTAGTAATAACTTTTAAAAATTGCATAATTATTTTAATTTTTTGGCCTTTATTTGTAATTTTTCCATAAATTTATATAATAATCACTATAGTCGCTGTATTTTTGTATTTATTAGTACATTGCTCTTGCGTACATATCGGTTATACTGATATAGATTATGTAATTATAAAAAAAAAATTCACTAATTAATTTTTATATGGGATTACACATAGTTTTGATTTACTCAATTTTTTGTGGGAACACATTTATGGAATTGTGACTATTTTTTATACAACCTATTACGAATCTTCGCTTTTATTAATATAAAATAAAGGCCTTTAATACCCTTTTAAAATTTCGGTATATTACAATATGCATATTTTGCATCGTAAGTTTTAAAAATCCACGATTCCAATTTACAGACTCTAGCGTCACCGACCTAAAAAATTTCGCTATTAATGTTAGTGTTTGGTTTTTGTTTTGGTTTAATCGGATAGCGAAATTTTGGGGGTGGTGACGCCATGAATAAATGAATGGCGCAACCAAAGTTTGCCAATCGACCAACTTCCGGATCGAATTGGGCCGGCATTGATAATTTTGCCCAAAATCACTCAAAACTTTACTAATAAAGTGCTAACCTACATGCCAAGTTGCCCAGATAAGATGATTCGCTATCATATATTTAGTGTTTGCAAATCAGATCAGAATCCGGGTTCATGATTTTTAGGATTCTCCGAATCCAAATCCACGTAGAGATTCGATCCGCTATATATAAAAAGTTCAGATTTGGCCTGGATTCGGATCCGTACATTCAGACACGGATTCCAATCCGATCTGAATTTTCGAACTTATCCGTGCGATATACTACGTATAAATTTTGGTCAATTTGCGGTATTTTGACTGCGCAGCTAACGTTTATCAACAGTAATGATTACGTAATATTTTTGAACATAACTAATACTTTCCTTCTTTATTCTAGATAAGCGTCTCAAGTCGTGTAGTTGTAGTTGTTTTCATTTGTCGTCTTTCGTCGTGGTTTGATGCCACCGTTTCTGGCGTTATAATTCGTAGTTGGTGTGATTTAATCTTTCGACGCGTTGGGTGTTGCTGCTACTTTAAACATTGGTCATTGTTTGCACCATCGTTTTTAGTGTTGATGCTATCCCATTGTTGCTAGGCTCCTAATTAGTAGAGCCATCATTTTTGGTGAGGGAATCATGCTATTGCCGTCACAAAAGATTCGTTACACGACGACAATATTATGGTTTGAAGTAGTTGAAGTTTAGTGTAGTAACTATGATTTTGATAGATGCAGTAAAATTAGGTTTTCGAAAACGTTCGTTACGCAACGACGTTTTGAAAACGTTTTTGTCATGCAATTATTTTTTTTTTATTAAAAAATAAAAATTATATTATCGTAATGATTATTTTAAATCATGTAATTATGGTTGCAGGTGCACAAAATTACAAAGCCATTAAAATATCGGTTCCCGGGCTATCGGGTGCACAATCTCTATTTTTACAAATATATTCTTTCTCTTTAGCATGCGGAATAGGATGACATGTTCGTGGACAACGATGACCACATAATAATGCTTTCTGGCATGGTTTCTAGAAATGGAATTTTTGTTGGTTAATAAACTCTCAGTAACTTAAAAAATCATGAATAATAATAATAATAAAGTAATATTAAAAGTATTTACACCACAACCGCCATGTCGAGCTAATTCTTCGAACTCATTATGATGCTTTATTTTAGTCAGAGTTCCATGATTTAGGCATTTAAGTTCTAAATATGTACCACATGCGCCAACTTATAAAGAAAATCTTAATTAAAATTTTGATGCAAAATTAAGAGTTCAGGACTTAAAATGAATAAATAAATACCTTCTTTTACTTTCTTAATTACTGGTCCCCAGACATTCGAGTTCTCGAGCGTTTGAAGGTTACCAAAATAAAAAATGTACAGACCATGCAATGCTCTAGATAACGATACAACTGCCATATCTTTAGAATCCAAAATTTTCCTAGCCTTTTCACATAATGACTCTTCCACACCAACTAAAGATAGAATGACTATCGAGTTTTCTTCATTTCGATATTCGTCAATTAATTTAACTCTAATTTTACCTAAGGTCTTTTGTACTCCATTATCACCACGTCGTGGAGGGCGAATAGTTATAACAGAATTATGTTTAAGTTTAGGATTTAGCTTACTCCAAATTAATTGTTTTTGCGCCTTAAAAGGGGTTAAAATTGTTATCCTTTGTGGATCAAAATTATGCTCTTGTTGAAAAAGATAAAAGGCGAAATCCGCAACGAATTCAGCCTCATACTCATTACGTATTATCCCATGCTCGTTAACATTGTCATTACGTTCAGGGCACATAAAAAACAAATTTGATGTAGTACCTGGGATAGATGGGATATTGTTGGTCTGAGAATCAATGTTCAGCTTACTGTTGTAAAGAACGTTCATAAGCTTATAAATCTTGGGGTGCATACGACTTTGTTGAGTTAACTCTACATATTTCCCACCAATCAACATCCATCGTTCAAACAACGATACGTTCCTGTGGCCACGTTGAGCTATCACGCTTTTAACATCTGGCTTAGACATATACCTATCGCCTATTAAAATAATGTGTTCGAGCTTGTCTAAGCTCAACGTTGACATTAATTCTGCTTCCGGTATGTCTGAAGCCTCGTCAACGATACAAATCCTTGAACCCGAATTCTGAATTATTTCACGAAATGTTGGTGCATATGTCATAGTAATACCGATTATCGGTGCAAATTGAACAATTTCTGACCATCTGACCAAGCGAAGATGATCCAATTTGCTGCTTATATCAAGAGCCTGCATGTGTAATTCTTTAATAATCCTATTAAAATGATCATTGACAACAAAGTCATATTTGGTACGAATTTTTTTCTTCTCTTCCGGTGATAAAGACCAGATATTGTCGGGGATTTTAAGAGTGCTCCAGAATTCAGAAAATTTATTAGTTCTGTTTACGTGATCAAAATTAATTTTTTTGTACCACATATCTTGCTGTTCTGGTATGTCCTCGTCAATTAAATCGATAAATCGATCCTCAGTGACAAGACTTAGTAAATCTTTTTCGTCTTCGGACAATATTTGGACAATATCTTCGTCTCCATCATCAAAGCTATTGCTAAATAGATATGAGTCCTTGAGTTTACTGATCATATCTTCATTTACACCAGATAACGTATACAGAGAAGTTTCACATTCTAATATCCATTTCTTATATGCCCTCAGTTCTTCAGTTCGTAGTGATGCATCACTATCGAAGTTTTGGGCAGTTAATTGAGATCTAAAATTATTTGGTGCATTCCTAATAAATTCTTCATCTGACAAGTACTTAAATTTTTGAATAGATTGACACCTTATATCGTTACTAATATCATTCAATTTGCCTTTTAATTTAAGCCACTCGTGTTTCTGTACTTTTTGTAACCCTAACTGATTACGAGCTCGGAGTCTTTCTTTAGACACATTATTTATCTGCCTACTGGCCAGAAGAGGATTTTTACACTCGGATGAACCTAGTCGCACTAGTTGTGGATATAATGGAAGAATTTCTTCAAGTATTTTGTCAAGTACGAAGGAAGTCTTGGTCAGAATAATTATTGGACTTGGTAAATGACGTCGTCCGAAAGTTTGAGTAATGAGTTGTGTGGCCTTTGAAATTAGAATAGACTTTGAGGTAACAGAAGGCGCCTGAATAACGGCCACCTTGGAATATATAATATGCTCAAGTGCATCTTTTATAGATTTTTCAACATTATATGATGAAGCACCATTTGTTCCTTCATATTGTGGCCATTTATCTTGTCCGATTACAATATTAAAGTGTTTATCGTTCGAAAGGATCGGTGCAAGATCCAATGTGCACTTTTTTAAATAATGTGGAATAAAATCTGATGATTGTGTTATACTAATACCAAAAATTTCTTGTCTCAATGGCATTTCAGTCAAATCATCCATGTTCTTTGAGGCCAACCATTGAAGACATGACTTCACGTAACGATATTGAACAGGTGACTCGAACATAAAATATCTTCCACCTAAATCTAATCTTTTAAAACGATCAATGTCGAAATTTAATCCAATATAACATTCACCTTCAGCTTTTACAAGGCCACCAATATCAAAGTCTTCTACAGACGCAAAAGTTAAAGATGATTCATCAACACGCTTAGATTTGGAATCAACCTTGAATAGTAGAACATAGGTTCCATACATCAAATATTGGCCTGAGTACCAATCAACTTTTCGACTTGGGTTGAATCCGACCCTGACCAAAACTTGACAATCGGCACGAATGTATGAATGTATCACCCGTACGTCTTTATAGAAAACGCACTTATTAAAAGGATTACCAGGTAAGGTTGAATGGAAAGTAGCATGAAATGCTGCGCTTGCTCTTTTGAGAGGTTCTACAAGTTCATGTCTGAGTAAATCATAATGTACACCCCAATAGACTTCTGGATACTTAATATTCCATGATCTGTCAATAAGATTACGTGGAATCACTGGCTCTTGTGTTAGGGCCTCCAGATCAAAAATCTCTTCAAATGAGGGATCCAAGGGTTGTTTGATTCTATTTTTAATATAGCTAATCGCGTTTTCAAGGCCATTATAATATTCAGGGGTCAAATCAATCTTATCTGTATCATGATCTAATCTATTTGCCTTATTCTGCAATCTCTTAAGGTTTGTAATATGGTACTCTTCTTCGAATACATTAAATTCAGGTTCGGGTGTCTTTTCTTTTAATATTTGATTAAGATAATTAAAAGGGATTTGTTTTAAATACACAACAGGGATAGGTGTGACACTTAGAATAGAACCTAAAAGCTTAAGAGAAGGCAAATAATTATGGGTTTCACCGGAGTCTAACATATAATTTATTAGTTTTTCGAAAAGAACGTTATTTGATGAAAGTGATCGTAATATATCTATATAAACTTCATTAGTCTGTTTAAACACGTGAGGAGATGTAAGCATATTAATGAGCAGATCAAAGGAACTAGCATCGGCCCGTTCCATTTGAGAAGCGATTATGTCACTATAAGTATATAACATCTTGAACCAATTGCTCGAACCTTGATGGAATATAAAATTAATGCATGTTCGAATATCGCTGGTATAGTTTGAGATATCGGTTGTTGAAAAGCCATCAACGAAGTTTTGCATTGTAATAGATATGATGTATTATGAGTGTTTTTGGTTTATATAAGGGGAAAGGGGTGAACGGGTAGAGTCTCCAGTGTTATTGACTGGGAAGCTGGAACCCCACTGAACTTTTCTAGATTATTCAACAATTCAGTGGTCTAATAAAAAATTCCACGGAAAGAATAACGATAATCTTAACCAATAAAAATGCACGTATATACTCGAATTGAGATTGCTGCATCGCCATCAAAATGATTTTTCCATAAACACAAAAAACCGGTCATGTCCTCTTCCGGATTGAATCCTGATCACTTTTCTATTATATTTATACCCGTGCTGAAACCATATAGACCAATGTGAATAATCTTGTCGTGTTCATGTTCTTTAAATTGTCGTGTGTTAGAAGACCTTTATTTAGGCTTCGGTGGCTTCGGTCCCTTAAATTATCGTGTGCTAGGAAGAACATTATTAACGACCAGTTACATCGGTATTTATAATCGGTATTTATAATCGGTATTTAAAATCTGTTACACACGATTAGATTTATCCAATATTTCAATTGTTAATGTTGTTTTTTTTAAAAAACAACACAAAAAATATATTTAATTTAAATTTTATTTTTATTTATTGCCAATAAAACGTATTCTTATTTTATCCATTTTATGTTTTTGGAAGTTTTTTTGCATGTTCCAAATTCTTAATATTATTTATCATTTTTTGAATTGATATAAAGTTTGATTCAATGTTTTTTAACCATTTTTTTTTGTTGTGAAAGATCAAAAGACCTTTAAAAAGATCAAGCATCTTTTTTTTTTTTAACCTTTTTAACCTTAAGCAGTTATGCTAGTACTTTATTAAGATTCTTGAAATTATATACATATATAATTACATAGAATTTTCCAATATATAAGTTTAGCATCATTCGGCTATCATAATAATAACTGCAACCTGTTATATTATCTTAGTTAGAAATAGACTGCTTATTTAATTACTTAAAGTCATATCAGAAAGATTTTTTCTTTTCTGTAACAAGCATATTAATTGTCTTCAATACCTTTTTTTTTACTTATTTTATTTTTTCATTTTCATTTTATTTTTATTTTCTTTTGATATTTTATTTTCTATTTTCTTTTTTGTTAATTTTTTTTTTTTCTATTATTTTTTTTTATTTTATTTATTATATTAAAGTTTTTTTTCTATTCTTGTACTTTTTTATATTGAATTCTTTATATTTGATCATAAAAGATATCTTATACTGCTCTTATTACTATATTTATACATTTCTGTATTGTATTTTTGTTTAATAGTTGTTCAAATTTTTTTTAATTTTCAATATTATAAGTTTTTTTATTAATGTTTTATTGTTCTCTATTTCTTTCTTTTTTGTTTCTCTAAAGAATGTTTTATATAGCACTTCTAACAAAATTCTAACTTTTTCTTTTTTTTTGTTTATTTTATGCTGTTGCTACTAATATTTTTTGAATTTGTTTTTATCAATTTTTTTATTTATTACAACTTATTATATATACTTAAATTTCTATCTTCTTATTTTAATAAATCCAATAGTTTGTTGTTATATATACTTCTAATCTTTTTTATTTAGTTTTTCTAATATCAATAGACTGTCCAGGGGTGTGGCGACCTAGTGAAGTGGTCAGGTTGTCAACCCTCCAAGTGGTAGGTTGGGTGTTCAAATCCCATCGATAGCGAAAATTTGGATAATCACCTATGTAATATTCGTATTATGGCAACTGTTACTAATGGTTGGGTTAGGATACCTGT